TAAATAGCAAATAAGACTCAGCCATGGTTCTGGGCAGTGTCCCTGCTGTGAGCCTCCCATCCCTGGAGCTGGGGGCCTGCCCCACACTGACGGCCTGCCAGGTGCTGTTCCACGTGGGCATGGTGAGGACCAGTCCCTAGACGTCCTGGTGGTCAGGTGTGAGCGCCGTGACTATGTGGCTTCACCTGCAGGCCTCCATTTCTTAGGAGAAGCGGATGAACTCGTAGTGCGTTTGGGTTGAAGCAGTACTGGGAAGTGAGTGCGCTTTTCGTAAAGATAAGGGCTTCCCGCACTGTACCTTGAATGGGTGGGCTGGACAGTGATGTGCTGGACACTCAGCCTCCGTTGTCTTTCTCGACCCAGCACTGGTCCGTGAGGCCAGTGTGTGTCCCTGCCTTGCAGTGAGAAACCCGAGGCTCAGGGCCCACTGAGATTCCACGGCTGCGGGGGTCTGGCCAGGGTCTGGCTCAGTCCCTGTGGCTCCCATGAGCTCCCCACTTGCTCTTCTGCCTTAAGGGGATCAGTGTCTGCGACTGCCACTAGTTCCCCTGGCACCTTCCTGGGAAAGAGTGGGAATCCTGCCTGCCCAGGTCTGGCGCTCGCAGAACACGCTGCCTGCCGCGGGTATGCAGCCAGCCAGGAGGTTGGCCAACCTGCTCCTGGGTGGGGACGGGAAGTGAGGACCCACGGCCCACCTGCAGCTCAGCTGTCCTTCACAGGGGGTGAGGGACTTCAGTGTGCCCGTCGGCTTGGATTCCAGAGTCCTTGTGGATCTAGTTGTCGTGGGATCTGTTGCTGTTTCTGAAAAAGGTAAGATTGGAACCAGCAAGTCTGGTGGGCGCTGTTCCGGCAAGGCCGCTGCGGGTGCCGTGTGCCAGCCTTGGTGGGTGCCCTGCTTCCTGGGCGGGCGCCTCTTCTGAGCCACCTCATTGCCATTCTTGGGGAAGAATCGACCCGCTCCTCCCTGGTGGTCCCGGCCCAGCTTTGCAGAACTGTCTCGGGCAGCTCCCTTCGGGTGTGCCCAGGTTCTCAGGTCAGCGGACGTGGGCTGAGCTCGTTTTCATAGCTGGGTAGCCAGCCTGGGCACCGTTCCCAGCCTCATGTGCCCCAGGGGCCTGCAGCCTCCCCAGCAGCACCAGGTGTCCTGTGGCCATGAGGCCGGTGACACAGACTGCTGTTGTCCACACGCCCTCGCAGTCTCCACCCGTGCTGTGCCCTCTTTCCCAGCCCCCAGCTGAGCTGGCACAGTGCACAGGGTCTGCCTCGCTGAGCTGTCAGGCTGTGCTCACCTGCACACGCGACTTCCTGTGCGCCTGCCGTGTCAGGCAGCCCTGTGTGCTGGAGGTCTCCGCCGTGGCACTCTGTGAGTGGCATGCAGACGTGGGGGTGGAAGCATGTTGGTGCCAACAGGAGTGGGGGGCCTCCAGCGCTGCGTGGGGCACCAACTCCCCAGCGGCCTCGGGGCTGGCTCTTGCTCTCCAGGGCTGTGGAGGCAGGAGGGGCAGGAGAGCCTCCCAAGGGAAGGAGCGGTGGGTGCAGGGACGGGGCCCTTTGGCCCTGAGGCCAGGCGAGGGACTTGGGCCAGGCTCAGCGGCGCTCTCTGTAGAGGGCCGTCAGGAGCCTCCTGTTCAGACGTGTGAAGCAGAGAAGGCGATTCTCAGCTGCCCCCACTCAGCCTCCAGTTTAAAGAGTGAACTAGCCATGCGCAGGTGTGGGGCACTGAACACCCAGAAAGCCCCACCTGGAACGCTCCCCGTCCCTCCAGGGCCACTAGCAGTGTCCCCAGTGCAGGCCACATGTGCACCAGCATTGTGAACCTCACCCGGAATGTCCCTGGCCCCTCTAGGGCCATGGCAGCGGCGTTGCAGGACTCAGCTGGTGGGTGTTGCCAAGAGCCCCCGCAGGTCGCTCACGGGCCCCAGTGCCTCCTTAACAGCCCCGGCACTTGTGGCCCCTCAGCCCCTGGTCTGCTGCGATTTCATGGTTAAAACAGTGACCTGAGCCTTCTCTCCTGTTCCCATGTCACCTGCCTTCTTTTTTTTTTTTGGTACTGAGATTTAACCCAGGGAAACAACCACATCCCCAGCTCTGTTTTTTGTCTTGAGACTAAAAACAGTTGCTTAGGGCCTTGCTGAATTGCTGAGGCTGGCTGTGAACTTGCCATCCTCCTGCCTCGGCCTCCTGGTGGCTGAGGTCACACCCAGCTTCTTGTTCTGTGACTGTCTGGTCTTCGCTGCTTTCCCCCTGAGTCCCCTCGTTTCTGTGCATGGCTGAAGGTTCTGATTGTAAGCGGCAGGTCTGATCTGGGGAAGTAGCAGCAGTGACGTGTCCTCCCAGGGCGCGGGGACGATGCTGGCCAGGGCCAAGGCCTCGGAACTTTTGTAGCTTCTGACCAGTGGGAAGTGCAGGTCCACCCTGGGGCCCAAGGCCATTAACCTTCACTGTCCCCTGGCTGGTTGGCGGGGCCAAAGGGCTGTGAAGCCTAAACCACACCCTCGCCTCTCCTTGGGCTCCTTTGTGCTACCATTTGCACTGGCCCTGCCCAGGCCGCGGCTCTGTGTGTCCCAGGAGGCACGTCCCCTTCAGCTGCGCCCACCTGGCACCTTTCCTTTCTCCTCTGGGTACGTAGGTCAGAATATCTTGCTGCCCGCTCTCAGTCTCTGAGAACGTTCTTGTTTCCAGTGTGAGGCTCCCCAACGGGGCTCTGCAGGCCTCCGCTATTTCCCTTTCCAGGGTTTAACAGGCCCCTTGTCCACGGTGCGTTCTCAGAGGGCGGCTTGTGCGTCGCCCTGGAGGTGGCTGCGGAGGCTGGCGCACTGGGCTCAAGCTTCTCCCGCCGCAGTGCCCTGAAGGAACCTGCCCCTCAGTGGCACCCAGGCCCACGCAGGTGCTAACGCCTGCCCTCTTTTAGGCTGGAGGATTGGGAAGGGAGAAGGTTACGCTGACCTTGAATACGCCATGATGGTGTCGATGGGAGCCGTCCACGAGGGGACGCCAGTGGTCACCATCGCCCATGACTGCCAGGTGCTTCCTTCCGGCTGGTCGAGAGGGCTGCTCACTGCCAGCTGCCCTGAGCAGGCGGGTGGGGGGTGTGAGGGTGGTGGGGTGGGGCTGGACCGCAGGTGGTGCAGAGGCTGACCTCACCGCAGGTGGGCAGGGCGCCTTTTCAGGCAGCCTCGCGTTTCCTGCCAAGGGACGTGAGCACGGCTGCGCAGTCTTGCCGTCAGCTCCTTTCCCCGTTGGTGCTGACCAGGTGGTGGACATCCCTGAGGCGCTCCTCGAGGACCATGACCTCACTGTGGACTACATCCTCACTCCAACCAGGGTCATCTCCACGGGCTGCAGGCGCCCAAAGCCGGCAGGAATCACGTGGTCCAAGGTGGGTCATGGCAGCAGCTCCGGGGAGCAGGAGTCCTGTGGCCATCCACTGTGGGAGCTCTGGTGTGGGGTTCATCACAGTCACTGTGGAGTTTTCGAACACTTGAGCTCCTGTGTCCCATCTCCAGGCTGGGCCTAAGACTCTGCTTCCAAACTCGGGTTACGAGAGGCATCCAGGTTCAAGGTCTAGCACTGTAGCGGGCACCGGTGACTAGAGGCGGCTCCTGCCAGTTGCTTTTCCCTGTCTGAGCTGTCTCCTCCCATCCCAGCTACAGCACAGCCGGTCCCTCTCCCCAAGTCCCGACTGCCCTACAGACAGGACCTGGATCTGTCCTCCAGGACCTAGGTCTCGGACAGAGGCGCTGGCGTGGAAGGCAGGGCCAGGCTCCCTGAGGTGTCACCTCTGTGACTTCCACGCAGCCCAGGTCACCTCGGCAGCTCCCGAGGCTGAGTCTGGTGGCAGCCAGCAAGCACACTGTCTGGTCCACCAAGCCTAGTCACCAGCCAGGGAGGGTCCTGTCCCCAGGCCTGGAGAGAACATCTGCCTCCAAGGGCAAACCACGCTGGGTGCTGGCACTGGCCTCGGCCTGGTGCCTTGCCCTGCAGCTGGGCTCTCCTGCCTGGTGGTGTGGCTTCTTCAGAGTGGATGGGGACGGTATGCCCGACCTGGAACTGGACCAAGAGTGCCCGGGAGAGGTGCTCACCCCTTCCTGGAAGTCAGGACGTCCCCTGAGTCTTTCTGAAGAGCTTGAACTCACCTTGGAATCCGGGTCCATGCTTCCTTGGAAGTGGAGGCCACTCCCATAGGTGGCAGTGAGGCCACGTCTCCTTGGAACCAGGAGCAAGAGCCTGGGAAGGTAGCTGTGAGGCCACCTTGTGGTCATCAGGAGGATCCATCAGCTGCAGCCACGTTAGGAAGATTCTGGGGCCTCTCCAGGAAGTGGGGAGTCTCCATGGTGGCATTCTACAGTCTTAAGAGAAATGCAAAGGGAGCCACAAGAGAGCTCACACGGGGACCCGTCCCACGACCTGGGGACTGCTTGGGATCAGGGAGGGGCGGTGGGCCATGATCCAGGTGTGGCCCAGCTTGTCTGCGTCTTGGGTCATTCATGTCAGCCGCAAGCGACTAGAAGAAGCACGTCACCCGCAGCAGCCAGTCCTCGCCATTCAGAAGCCAGTCAGAGGGTTGTGACCCAGGGAAGGCCTTCTGCCAAAGGGGGAAGATGGTTCTGCTCCTGGTGCTGGAGACGGCGGGGAAGTGGAGGAGCACGGCGACTCGGGCTTGCGAGGAGGCCCTGGACTCTCTGAGCCATTTGGGCTTGGGCCCTGCTCTCACACGGTGGTTCTGCCTGGGGCCCGGCTCCTCTTGGAGTTTGGAGGACCCTGGAACTGGTGCTCAGAACCGGGCGAGTGGCTCCTGGGAGAGCCAGGTCCTGGACTCTGAGCGCGGTGGGATGGCGTGCTACTGCAGCCCTTTGGTTTGTGGCACAACATGACCAAGTAGCGTTGGTGCGGACCTGCAGCCAACGTCCACGCTGCTGTGGGAGCCGCGGTACCTGCTGGTCCACCAACAGAAGCACCTTGCAGAGGGGACTTGTCGAGGCCTGGCTGGCACTGTGGCCCCTGGCCTCCTACTGCTCACTCCCCAGTAGCACCTCATACATCTGTCCCCTGACAGCCACCGGGCTTCACAGTGGAGCTGCGTCCAGCCAGTTCAGTCCGTTCAGTTGGGACCGGCTGTGCCAACAGGCCCGGCCGCCTCTTCCACCGCCTGTGGGGCAGCCAGGGGCCTCCCTGGTGGACGGTACTGATCTAGACGGAGCCCTCACACAGACGCCCCAGAGGCGACTGGACTTCGTGTGACTTCATTTCACAGCCTGGTGACTCACGGCTGGTGGCTGGCAGCAGAGGTGGCGTCCAGTCTCTGTGTTTTCTGGCCCTGGATGTGTTCCTTCAGTAGCGAGAGGACCCCTGGGGCCCTTGCAGGACCTCGTCCCACCCACAGCTCCCTGGGGCAGAAACCCCCACTGTTCTGGGGCTGGTCAAGGGCAGTGCCAGTGACCAGTGACCCTAATGCCCGTGACCCTCGGTGCCTCTCTGGAAAGGGCCCAGGCTTCCTTTCTGGCCTCCTGGGCTGGTTTCTGCAGCCACCGTGGTACGTGGGGGACAGTCCAGAGCAGCGTCACTGGTGCAGAGCTCCCCGGGGCTGAGGGTGGGGACCAGAGCGGCAGGCGGTGTCTGTTAGAAAGAGGGGCTCTCCTCCCCGAGAGCCTCGCAGCCCGCACACCCCACCTGTGCAGCAGGCGAGTGGTCAGTTCCTCACGGGGATGTCTGGCAGGCGCCCTGCAGTGACCCCGGACCCTTGATTTGCCGGAACTGCTTGACTTTCAGGTCAGCCCTGAGATGCTTGGGAAAATCCCGGTACTCAGAAGCCTCCGCGACCGAGAGAAGCGGGCGGGGAAGGACGTCGCTCTTCAGGCTGAGCACCAGCCCTTCCTGGGATCAGCCAGCACGCACCCAGCGCTGCCAGGCACGGTCAGGAGGCCCCACGATGCACCCCGGCCAGGGGCAGATTCCTTGGAAGCAGCCTGTGGCCCCCGTGATGGGGAGGACGTGCCGGCTGCCACCGTGTGTGTGGGGAACCTCCCCCACGATGCCCGCGTGAGGGACCTGAAGAGAGCCCTCCGCGAGCTCCAGGTGGCGCCCCTGCAGCTCACCTGGCGGGGGCCGCAGCACAGGGCCCTCCTCCACTACCGGGACCTGGCTGCAGCCCAGCAGGCCGCCTCCTGTTTGCAGGGCCTGCACCTGGGTGACCGTGCCCTGACTGTGGCCCTGGCCAGACCACCCAACAAGTCACCCGGGGGCTGCCCAGGCAGCTAGAGGCACCCTGGGGAGGAGTGTGACGTCCTGCCGTGCTGCTGCTGCGGCACTGGAGACTGTAGCCCAGGGGATGTGGGGTGCCTCTGAGGCTCCTGTGCTGCCCCGTATCCCCGAGAGGGTGAGTGTGTGTCCTTAGGCCCCAGAGGGGGACCTCGCTCACACCTTGAGACAAGAAGCTCTGGGACCTGGGTCCCGGTTTTCCTGCCGCGTGCCCGTCAGGATGGCAGCTCCCTGTCTGGCCAGAGCTGAGGCCGCCCCTGGCATGGGAGACCTGGCTGCACAGGTGACCGTCAGAGCTGATGGGCCCGGCCCTGACACCACCACCTCAGCTCCTGTGCCCAGCTGTGCCCCACACCAGCGCCACCCTCGCACTGCACGTTAGACCAGTCAGTGAGTCCAGGTGAGCCCGTCCCGGGACTCTGTCCACGGCCACCAAAGTGATCCCACCTAACCTGTCAACGCACAAGGAAATTAAAATTGTCATAAAATAAAAGACTGATTGATTGGCAGAGGTCAGTCAGCTGGAAGGTCGGGCTGCAGGCTCTTCCCGAAGCTTCCTTCTGAAGTCGTGCGGGAGGGCACTGCCTGTCCTCTGTGGCCCACAGCCGAGTCCCCCACTAACTATGGAATTTATTTTTTTTAATCCAGTAACAACAAAAACAAATAAGTGCCTGGAACCTGCCTGTCAGGTGGCTCGGGGCTTATTCGAATAAAAGGACACTTCCAGAAGGAGTGACAGAGCTGGGCAGACACCTCTGGGTTCCAGATGACAGCTTCTCCCTGGAATGGCCCCTCAAGTGGCAAGCAAGATCCCAGCAGGGTCTCAGGGCACCAGGACGCTGGCAAGCTGGGGAGTAAATGCTCAGGAGTGACCCCACAAGCATAGCTGGGGCTGGGCCAGGCCTCGGCACCCCCGCTCTCCTGCTTGACGGACCGGTAGGTTCAGCTCTGCCGTTTGTTGGAAAGGATGGGTGTGTAGGAGTCCCTCTGGGAGCAGGACAACCCAGACGTAAGGGTGATGCAGCTCTGAAAACAGCTGTGTAGAGTGCTCAGAAAGTACCAAGGAAAGGAAGGGCACCCTTGATTCAGAACCACTGTGATTCCATGTGTTCTTTTCAAACAGGCTTCTTTATTGTTACTCCAGTCGTTCTTGGAACAATGGCCAGGAGAGATACCCCTCATGACCTGTGTCTTTACTTCTAAGCTTCTGGAGTGCTGAAGGCAAATACCTGCCACTCTGCTAGTACACACAGCGAGTGTCTCCATCGCGGAGCCTGGAGCCTGGCTGCAGGCTGGCCAGAGCATGGGCTGCGAGCGCTGTTGGCCAAGCCCAGCATGCTCTGCTCCCTGCAGGCGGAGGGGCGCTCCTGGTGCCTCCCTGTCCCCCAGCCAGCCTGGCTGAGCTACACTGCCTCTGCCCCCTGCTCGCCGCTAGGCTGCGTGGGGTTGGGAGCACCTCACGGGCGGGGCTGGGGGACCAGCCAGCGCTGTCTGGGTAGCACTGGCAAAGTGCAGATCCAAATGTGACTCTCAGAAGGAAGCTCCGCGTCAGCAGACCTGCAGATCTTACAGGCAGGCCCTGGAGAAGTCCTGCCTGTCCTCTGTGGCCCCGTCCCCAGGTCTTTTGGTGCCATTGGCTCCCTAGTTCCCAACTAGTGGCCCCACACACTCCCTGTGAGTGAGACAGGCTGGGACAGTGGCAGTGGCAATACTGCCCAGGAAAGCCCACCACAGGGCACGTGTTGGAAGGAGGGTGGACGGGGTGCCAGACACGAACATGGAAAGGGGCGGGAGGGGGAGCACCGTCCTCTGCAGCACAGCTGACCCTGCCCCCGCCCCCAGCACTCCCAGCACAGCGCTGAGGACCAGGCCCCTTGATCTTACTTGTTGTGAAACGTGAAGTTTTCCGTCTTTGCCAGATATGTCCCCTTTGCCTCCTTCCGGAGCATTCCCACTGCCTGCACCCCAGTTCTGGGAAGTGCCTGTGCATTGGTGACTCTGCTTCCAGAATCCCCATTCTCCCTCCCTGCTCGGCCGAAAGGAGTCGGGAGGTGGCTGAGCTCACCTGCCTTCCCTGGATTCAGGCAACCAGTGTTCCAAATAGAACAGATGTCCCCGCCTGAAGACCACTGATTTGGGGGCAGGGGTGTCTGGCCGCCTCTCTTCAAAGTGAATCTTGCACCATATATAAAGGCAGGAAGGAAGGGGTGTGGGCAGCCTTCACCACTGCCCCCCGGCCACCTGGGGGCTGAGCTCCATGTCTCTGCACAAAGGACCAAGGAGGATGCCAACCTCTTCCTCTGGTCATAGTAGCTCCAACTCGCTGCGCTGCTCTCAGGGAGGGGAAGCCTGAAACTCCTCCCAGAGCTCTGGGCAGTCCTGAAGAGCCACCCTCAACCGGCTTGCCACGCCATGCCTGCCTGCATGAGCAGACCCAAGACACGGGCAGCTCTGCTCCTGGAGTCCAGCCCAGAGCGCCCTGCAGAGGCCCGGGGCAAGGCACTGAGGGCCAGCCCCAGGCAAGGGGCACCCCCATGGAAGGGCTGCAGGCTCTCGGGAGCCCCCGCGCTGGGCCAGGCAGAGCAGAGATGGACTGTTCCCACGACCCCTCGGAGGGCAGCCGGAGTGAGTGGGGCCTGGCGCCGTGTTAAGCACTCTGCTCCTGGGGCTGCTTCTGCCCTGAGTAGTCGGCACAGCATTTCTTCCAAAGGAAGTGATGCTCGTGTGTAAGTTACCAAGCACACACATAAGACTGTATTTTGAATAAATATAGAGACATGAGTCGTGGGTGGGCAGATGCATGCGCAGTCCTCGCGGCCACTTGTGAGAGACACCCTGTTTCACGGATGAGGTAGCCGAGATACGGGACGAGGAACTGACTGGTCCGCAGTCCCTTAGTGAGTGGGGAGCAGGGTCAAGACTTCCATTGCACCAGGTCTCTGAGGAAGTTAGAAGTGCCCATGCGTTTTCCTTTGTAGTGGATTGTCCCCAACTTGCCACCTACAGTCAGAAGAGGCAAAGCCATGTGGGCTGGGCAGATTGACTCAGACCCCGTCTGCTCTGCAGGTGTTTGTGGGGCATCTGGGGCAGCAGGGCTGCCCGCTCTGCATGGGGTCTGCCCTGCAGCCCTTAGTCACCACCCCTGCTGCCAGCCCTGAGGACGACGGCTGGACCAGCCTTGCTCCGTGTGCTGGATGAAGTAGCTGGTGTTGGTGGCCCGAGCCAATCAAGGGCTGGCACAGGGTTTTGCCCGCTTCTCCCTGCTCCCTGCTGGAGCTGAGGCTCGGAGAATTGGGAGCTCCTCACAGCCCCTCCTGCCATCCAAGCTGGTCCCTTGCCAATCTTAGTGGTCACCTGAGGCTTTTGCTGGGGACTGCCTGGGCAATCTTTCAAACAAGCAGAGACTTTTAAATTGGCAACCACACTCCTGTCCCTCCCGCGGGGCAGAACTTCTTCCTGTGAATGAAGCCTTTATTCTTGATGTCCATTAATCATGAGGGTTAGAATGGGAGCTGACATGTGACCATGTGATGTGGACATTTTGCACTTTGGAGGTTTGGAGGCAATAAACCAGGCCCTAGGTGCTGAGTTGTAAGCAAACTAGACGCCTTCCAGCTCAGGGGGGGGGCAGCCCACTCCGCCCTTGCAGCAAGCCCGGGAAGCTGGCTCTGTACCTTCCCATCTTCCAGGTAAGAAAGGCGCGGGTGCAAGAGCTTCTGTGACTTCTTAGGGTTCCACACAAAGCTGGCCAGACCCCTGGAGCCTCTCCCCATCAGGAGGGAGCAGGCTGTCCCCAGGGAAACACTGACCGCCCTGCTCCTGACCACAGCCAGGCCTCAGGGCTCCCTGGAAGCCACAGCAGCTAGTCAGAACAGAAGCGCCATTGAATACGCCAAGAACAGGGTGCTGGCCCCACACACCAGTCCCAACTGGAGCCGCCTGCCATGCGCTCGCCCTCTCTGCGCCTGTTTCCTCGCAGATGAACTCACTGGAGCCCCACAGCCCTTCCCAGCGTCCTGCTCACAGGGGAGAAGAGGGCAGGGTCAGCACTGGACTCTGCCCTTCACTGCCTCATACACCGTCAACTCCTCCCGGGCTGCCAGGTCTCGGTGCACAGACCACTGTCTCCCGGGCCAACACAGCTGCCAGGATGGAGGGGCCGCCTCTTGCCTTGTTGTCATCTCTCTGAAGCTTTCTTAAGGAGCCCTGTTGTTTGTACACTTAGGAAAGACTCATTGGTTTGACCCCGTTCCAAACAAAGCCAAGTCCTCCTTTGAAAAGGCCAAGGCTCCGAAATGCCAAATGCAGCGTCATCTGTGCCTGCCACTGCCACTCACCTGTGGAATCTCCTTGGGGGGTCATTTTTAGGTCCCAGCGTTGGTTGTGCAAAGGGGACAGCAGGTGGCGCTGCGTCCTCATGGAGAACAGTGCCACACACCCCGCCTTGGCAGATGGACAGACTCTGCCTTCCTCCTCTCCTTTCCAAGGGGTCTCCCGGCCCTGAGCTTCCACTCACCACCACCACCACCACCACCACTGGGGTGGGCTTTGCCTGGAGGAGCCCTGGGAAGTGCACTGGGACCTGCTGCCCTCCTCTCCCCAGGGCCCGGTCCTGCACCACCTTGCCCAGCCTCCCCTCACCTGCAGCTGCCCCCTTGCCCGGGTTTCCTCTCACAGTACCTGCTGGACAGAGGTGGCCCACTCCTCTGCTCCCACAGCTGTGTCTGCTGAGGGGTCGCAGCAGAGAGCCAGGATCAGCAGGGGCTGCCTGCCTCACAGAAACACCGTGTGGGGATTTGAGGCTGGCTTAGAGGGACATTTCCAAAGACACAGCTGTTTTATCCTTTTCCAGGGACATTGGAAGACCTGGCCCACTTCCACAGTCAGGAAACATGTGCGATGCTATTAGCTGGATTAAGATAACCCACCCCCCAACATACTGTTCCCAGACCAGAGCCTGCTGGCCACCACAGCGCCAGGCTGCTGACACGAAGCACAGAGAGCAGCTGGTACCTGGCCCAGTGGTCTGTCCACTCTGGGCAGGCTTCCTCTGGTCTTTGTCCCCAGGCTGACAGCCAACGCCAAGGGACAGGGAAGGGCGCGGAGCGGAGGTAACCAACCCAAGGCTCTGCAGGCACCAAGTTGGGCTGTCTCTGGGCCCTGACCAGGTTGCTGCTCCACCCAGCACCAGGGACCCCGGGGTGAGACCTGGCCTCAGTGTCATCTTCTCTCAGAGCACACATGTGACCCATGTCCAGGTACTGGAAATGGCTGGAGGGCAGCAGATGGCCCTGTGTATCCCAATGCTGGGGAGCACAAGGAACCCGTGTGCTCAGAAAGGGACAGGCGCACTCGCCCACTCAGTAGTGCCTGCTGCCCTGCAGTCACCCACGCTCTGCCCTGGGCCCTTCCGCTCATGCAGCCAGCTGGGTGGCCACGGGCACTGTTCTGTCAGGGTGTTCCCATTCCAAGGGAAGGCAGCACTGGAGGCGGCTCTGCCGCTGTCCTG